AAGCTTTGACAACATTTGATCGTGAAGAAAAAAAAGTTTATGAGATTCCCATCACAATATCAGATAGTGGAATTCCAAAAATGACTGGAACAAGCAAATTACTTGTAATTATTGGTGATGAAAATGAGAACCCAATGAAGCCAGGACGAAGTTCAATATTTGTTTACACTTATAAAGGAGAATCACCTGACATGGAAATTGGTCGAGTTTATGTTGATGATCCTGATGACTGGGATTTACATGATAAAAAGTTCAGATGGTTAAATGGTCCACATTTAAACTTTGATCTTAAATCTGAAACTGGTATGATAACCATGCTTCAGGGGACTAGGGAACAGACCTATGTTTTAGAATTTGATATTACTGAAGAAAGCCGTTTAATTCCCAGACACTCAGTAAATGCAACTGTTGTTATAACTGTGAAAGAAATTCCAGAAGAAGCTGTTGATAAATCAGGGTCGGTTCGATTAGCTGGTATATCCGCTGAAGAATTTATTACACCTAATCAAGTAAAATAATTATTAAAAACTTTTAAACTAAATTTAATCAAATCAATCAACTAAATTAAATCATGTGTATCATATTTTTAGTATGGTGTTAGTAAAGCTACAATTTTAAGGGAAAAATTAGCATTAATTTTGAATGCTAGCATAGAAAATGTAGATGTATTTACAATTTTGCATTCACCAACCAATCCTAACACTACACAACTTGATGTTAGATTTTCGGCTCATGGTTCACCTTATTATCAGCCTGAAAGGATTAATTCTGCGATTGACTTACACCAAGCTGAGGTATAAAATTCTTAGTAGTATATATTAGTAAGCCTAAAACATTTAGCATTAATTAATTCTTTATTTAATATTTTAGCTTGAAAAAGAATTGGGTGTAGTTTTTCTTATGGTTAATATTGATGAATGTTTAGTAGAAAAACTTTATTGTGAATCTTCGTGTACTAACTTTCTTAATAAAAGTAATGAACCAGCTGCAGTATTTACAAATACTACATCATTTGTTGGTATACGAGCTATAATTAAGCCATTTTGTCAGTGTGAACAGAGGTTACCCTCTGTTATAACTTGCTTTAATGGTGGTACTCC